CAGTTGGTCTAAGGGTTTTAAGAGCAGTGAAATCTCCTTCGCCCCACCCAAAGAACGATTATTTCTTGTCAGTTATGATGATTTAAAACCCAAGGTAGATGAGAATCCAACCACTAGCAGGACTCGAAAGTTAAAATCATCGAACTCCTAAAAAAGAAAATCATTTAACACCAAGCAAGCATAGATACCAAATTGAGAGCTGATGTCATAGGGAAGATCATTAAGGGAAATTAAAAATAGAATAGGACTAAGGATGGCGCCACGTGGCACGCCTGCATTAGTATGAAAGGATCTATACGAGTGGCCAAGTGAAAGAGAGTAGAGAACAGTCAGATGGCCTTGCGCACCAAACTACAGGTATTCCTTTCCTCTGCCCTTAGCACACTGCCAATATTCATCAGGTAGGAAAAACACCTGAAAAGGTTAATTAGCTGCTGCTGCCTACAACGGGGTGGCAGAACTAATTTCAACTCGAAACCTTGAAAGGGTAATTTGCAGTTCAAGCCCCACGCTCAGTTTCTAAGAAAAAATTCCCGAATAGTTTCATTTTGGGGTAAATGTCCATGCTTAATTCGAAAATAACAAAGGAATTTTGATAAAATCTACCGTTTTGGAGTTATCAACAATAAAATTTCGGACTCATTCGCGTCGCGGAGGGTGAAGTTGGAATTAATTCTGAATCTCCTTACATCGTATACACGGCAACACATGGAGAAACAAAGTTACCAATACTGTTTCACTAGCGACTGCATCTTTTCCATTGTCTTCGATGACTGGGTCACGTACATCGTGTGAATGACGGCCGTATACCACAAGTATGGGTATCTGGTCACGATGAGACACTGTCCAATAGGTCATCCTGCATTATGTTTCAAAGACGTTTGCAAGATGGAACTGAAACGCACAGGCATCGTCACTGGTAGCTGGGAACATTTAGCAGACGATTTCAGTGACTGGCGCCATACTGTTTAAGGCGGGAAAAGGCAAAACCAACTGTTTGAGAAGAAGACGAAGGAAACAGAGAAAGCAATGCCAGGTCTCCATTCCAGATTTCAGCTTCATCTTTTTTTAATTTAGCCTTAAAAATCCTTAGTAGATAATTCAGAATTCATCTCTTCTGCAAGTTTCGTTCTTTTTAGTTACAAATGAATAAAGTGGTACTTTTTTTTATTTACTTTTATTCATTTAAATCTGATCCAATAAAAATGCAATGTTCTTTGTAGCAAGAAAAGTAGATTGCTTAGCTTTTGTTTGTTTTTTTTTTTAAACTTTCGTTCAAATAAAATCAATAAATTAAATTTTAATTTCGTTTAACCGAGTTGAAGTTAGTTTCGAATTTAAATTAGATCTGAGTTGAAATTAGTTTCGAGTTGAAAATAGTTCTCAGTTGAAATTAGTTCCGAGTTGAAATTAATTCCAATTTGAAATTAATTCAGAGTTGAAATTAGTTTCGAGTTGAAATTAATTCCAATTTGAAATTAGTTTCGAGTTGAAATTTGTTCAGAGTTGAAATTAATTCCGAGTTGAAATTAATTTCGAGTTGAAACTAATTCCGAGTTGAAATTAGTTTCGACTTGAAATTACTTCCGAGTTTAAATTAGTTCAGAGTTGAAATTAATTCCAAGATGAAATTAGTTTCGACTTGAAATTAGTTCCGAGTTGAAATTAGTTCAAAGTTGAAATTAATTCTGAGATGAAATTAGTTCCGAGTTGAAATTAATTCCAACTTGAAATTAATTTCGTGTTGAAATTAGTTTCTAGTTGAAATTAGTTCCGATTTGAAATTAGTTACGAGTTAAAATTAGTTCCGAGTTGAAATTAGTTCAGTGTTGAAATTAATTCCGAGATGAAATTAGTTTCGAGTTGAAATTAGTTCAGAGTTGAAATTAATTCCGAGTCGAGTTGAAATTAGTTCTGAGTTGAAATTAATTCCAAGTTGAAATTAGCGATGTCAGACCTCCATTGCACATTCCAGCTTCATCTGTTACACCTACAAAAGAGAATGTCATGCATTTATTGGTCTGTTAAGCCACTCTAAATGCAGCTCGTAAAAGGACAATATTTGACCAAATAGTGCGCTATCATAATCTCGCGTGATAAATGGATGCTTATTACTACTTCTACTACAATAAATATTAAATAAAAAGGCAAATATATTTTTAATTCAATTTAATATATTTTCGATATATTGGTTGAAAATAAAATCGATAGTTCGAAATCAAAGTTCTACTCCTCATTAACGCCCATGAAAAAAAGCATGATTCCAAGTCTTCTCTGGTTCACGTTATTTTTCATTCTACTGTTCATCGAATACAAGGCCAAAAAGCCACTCAAGGTAGAGTGTTATTGAATGAGGTTGTTATAGGAGCGTAAAGAGAGGAAAGAAGAAGTGCATAATATGAGGATATGTACGATAGATAACGGTTGACATTAAAAGAAGTTAACGCTTGAAGAGGTTAGCATTTTAGTGATTGGAATAGCATCTTTTCAGGAGTATCTTCTGCAATCTAACAGTTCTGAGGAAGAAGTTGTCTGACGGAAACTTCCTCCTTACCAATGGAATCCGAATGGAATGAAGGATTGGAGAAGCATCCTTTCAGGAGACTCTTACACAATGTAATAGTTTTGGGGAAAAAGTTGTTTGAGTGGAACTTCCTCCTTACCAATGGAATACGAATGGAGTTAGAGATAAGTAAGGTACCCTTTCAGGAGTCTGTTCCACAACGTAAAAGTCCTGGGGAAGAAGTTGTCTCAGTGGAACTTCCTCCTTACCAATGGAATACGAATGGAATGAGGAATCGGGAAAGTATCTTTTCAGGAATCTGTTCCACAAAGTAACAGTTCTGGGGAAGAAGTTGTCTAAGAGGAACATCCTCCTTACCAATGGAAGCTGTCTGAGTAGAACATCTTTAACAATGGAACTTCCTTCGTAACAAACCCAAATCATTATTCCATGAAATAGTTAGACTATAAACAAATGGTGGTGCCATACGGTTATCGGCGTGGAAAATGGATTTTGCAACTTTGGTTCAAATTCCAGTCTTGTCAGTTGCAATCACTTTCGCACAAGTCATTAATAGAAGGATTTAAATCCACCGCTCATCTCTCCAGCTATGGATTAAACACTCTGTTCCTAAAATTTGTTTGACTACCAATTTAGGAGAAAGAAAACTGAATTGGAAACCGTGAGGAGAACAAGGGGAAATAAGTTCACTGTCCGTCACAGAAATCCTGGAAAATCATATATTATTAGTGAAAGGAAGGTGTAGAAATGATAGGAGATTCTTTTTTGATGATTTTGGTGAATTTTGATGACAGTTTCAACTAAAATGTCGACTTATACATTGGTGTATACAGTAAATAAACAAAAACAAATCTGAATCCTAAATCTATTTTTGACTCGGAAAGCATCGAATAACCTTGCCGGGTTATAATAATAAAAAGAAATAATAATAATAAAAAGAAATAATAATAATAATAACCGTGAGATCTAATGGGGTTACTTTGCATTCCTCATCACCTTCCCAGTCGGAACTAATTTTGGCAGTTAATGCCGGGCTGCCTGTGTTGATAATAAAACAGGGGTGGTGTCAGAGACCCTCCAAAAACGTTCTGGGTCACCCAGTGTATGTGGCTATCATTAATCAAGTTATGTCGCTTGACCTTTGGAAGCCATTTTTGTTGATGGCGTTTATAATTACATCTTTCACTGCGCGCGTTGTTGAATCGATAGCTTGCGAGCGAGCAAGCTTTGCACTGATAATGCATAACACTGCAGATTTCAACATTCTAAATATGTAAGTATCTCTCATTCTCTTGCCCCATATATATATATATATATATATATATATATATATATGTATGCATTGCCTATTTGGGCGATTACCTTTCTTTTATAATGACATATTTGCACTGATAATGGACAAGACTGCAAATTTAAACATTTTAATCTATCTATCTATCTATCTATCTATCTATCTATCCCTCTTAATCCCTATATATATATATATATATATATATATATATATATTGCCTATTTGGGCAGTAACCGTTTTATAATGATATCTTAGACCTGATTATGCATAACACTGCAAATTTCAACATTGTAAAATCTAACTATCTATCTAAATACATACATACATACATACATACATACATACATATATATATATATATATATATATATATATATATCTTAAATATATGCATATATATATATATATATATATATATATATATATATATATACATATATATATATATATATATATATATATATATATATATATAACACTTTCAAAGTAAAACAAAATAACAGCGTCTGTTTCTAGCCTTTTTTACAAAAGAAAATTAGTGACACTTTCTCTCATAACTTCCTTCTCTTTTTTTCTCTATGGGTTTTTTCTTCACTACCCCTTCGATATCAATATATAACATCCGTTAAGTTAACTATTTAAATGTGTCAATGTCTGCTAACTCACTCATGTCTTCTCTCTCCCCACCTCACTTCCTCACTTCGTTAATTTACATATGTTTAATACGGCCCATCAAAAATGTGTAAATTTTCTTTTCATTTTTTGTTTGGAAGTAAAGTCTGATGATCCGCAGTCCTTTAAAAGGGCTGTGGTGAAATAATTTATTACATGGAACTTTAAAGTAGTATGTTTTTTATTTAAATTAGTTGCTCTGGATTTACATTGAGCTCTCTGGATTTTATCCTCTTTAGGTTTACCCATACAGATTACCTAGTTTTTCATAAACTATATATATATATATATATATATATATATATATATATATATATATATATATATATATATATATATTGATTATTTAGGCAGTAACCTTTCTTTTGTATTGAAATCTTTGCGCTGATAATGCATAACACTGACAATTTCAGCATTGTAAGTACATCTGTCTCTCAATCTATGTATTTATCTCTCTATCTATTGATCGATCGATCTATGCTCATAACTGTTTCTTAATATCTATCCATATAT